ACAGTGCCTTGCTAAGGGAGCCGATTTTGTTAAGAGGGAGCGGGAAAACTGTTTTCTGAGCAAATCCTTTATTATTGAATCATGTCTCTACACTACCTTTGCTTGATAAGCAGGGGTGTTTTTCCCGATTTGAAACGTTTTCGATAATATACTGAGTTAATTCAACCAAGTTTCGTAGAAATCGATAAAGCGTTTACCGAGATAGACCTTTGTGTATGTACCTCGGTAAGCAATTTGTCGATTTCTACCAAACTGTGCGCACTTAATCAACTTCTCTTTTCATTCTGAGCATTTATGTATACATTTATCTATATCTATCACGATTCCTTTAGGCTGCTACAAACAACCGTGATGTGAACAATGTTAAAATACCCTTGTGCACAAGTGCGCTCGGGTATAAAAATACAAAATGGCCCTAATAATCGTTAAAAAGTTACGCCTTCTATAAAATGGGTTGACCTAAAGTTTCCCCAAATTTAACAAGTAAAAAGAGCGCTCGGGTATAAAAAGCGGGGGCTTCACTTGAATACGAGAATTTTTTGCTCTTTAAGAACCGAGAAGAAAGAAGACACTTGTATAGACGTTTTTTTTGCGGGTTTTTGTTAAACACGAAGCATCTTGTGCTTTAATAAAACTGCACTGAACCACAACTGAGCATACCTTTTCTCAGATAGACAAGAGACACTTCTGTCTAAAATAGTCTGACAATACAAATTGCAGTTAGCAGCCACGATACCGGGGCATTGATTGGCCCATTGGTTAACATGTTGTTAAAATGGTTGTTGTTGTTTTTGCAGCGGCTACAACGACCCCGCCCAGATCGGTTAATATCTCAGTCAATGTCGTAAAGTTTCACTAACGGCAGCCCAAGAAGCGTGCAGCCTTAATAGGGTCGGTCCACAAGGACAAAGGCGTTAGGGTTGTTGGGCATACGAAGAGATGCTTCGAGTCATGAGGTGTCTCTCCGCATGCCGGACACTCATTTGGTACATCTGCGTTTAGTCTGCTCAGGTATGAGTTTAACCTGCTGCAGTAGCCAGAGCGAAGTTGGGCTATTGTGGTTCTTGTCTCCCGAGGTCTCGTCTATATCCGGTCGTTGTGCGCTTAGAACGGCATTCACAGGTCTGGAGTATTTATAACTCGAGACTGACTCCCTGTGAATGCCGTTCAGGGCCTGTCGATAAGCTGACGGGTCCAGAGGTTGTTTAATTAACCTCTGGACTTCGTCCGTCAGTTCGTAGAGATGCCTCCTGACGTGCCTGGACGATGGCTCTTCTGCAAACAGCTACCCATTGGGGTGACCACGTCTATGGCTCCCGACAAGGAGCAGCTTACATAGCATGGTGTTATGCTCCTTCATCGGGAGCAAAATCGCCTCGCCGTGAAGATGGTGTTCGGGCGACATCAGGAGGCATCCTGTCGCTGTCCTGAGTGCGGTGTTCTGTGCAGTCTGTAGCTTCGTCCACTGCGTCCTACTAGTCCCCGGCGACCACACTGGCGCTGCGTAGTTCAAAACCGGCCGGCCTATTGTCTTGTATGTTGCCAGCAACGTTTCTTTGTCTTTGCCCCAAGTACTGCCGGCTAGCGACTTGAGGACCTTGTTGCGGCTCTGTACTTTGTTGACAATAGCGGTTGCATGCGCAGAGAAGGAGAGCAGACTATCGAAGGTTACTCCGACTATTTTGGGGTTATTCACCGTCGGAATTGGCGTATCATCGACGTGAATTCCCACCAGTAGCCTGACCTCCTTCGTTCAGGTAGTGAACAAGGTCGCAGAGGATTTCGTAGGGGAGAGGGGTAGGCTCCTTGCAGTGAAGAAGCGAGAAAGCTCGGAGAGATACCCGTTTACTTTCGAACACAGGTCATCAATTCCATTCCGGTCGCCATGATCGCGCATCGCTCCGGGTCCGACGAGGCATGGTCGCCGAAAGAAATTTCGACCCTGTCGTCGTGCTTCGTCGGATTGGACAGTGACCTCACGGTTGACCAAGGCTTACTCACACCAGAGGTGTACGTTCACAAGCTGCCGAATCTCCGTGTTGAGATCCCTGTAACGCTCATCGGCTAGAACAGCCGCTTCAGCAGGGAAATTTGGACGTGGGTCCGTAATGCATCCTTTCGTTGCGAAGCGAGCTGCAGCAGCGGTGACAACCCTGCGGAACTTACGTTCACCAAGGTGGACGTCGGTTGGTGTGGGAGCGCAGCAAAGGTTCTCTCTGTAAATTCCGCGAAGCCTTTCCAATCAGCTTTAGAAAAGTTGAATAGATCCGGTGTTCCGCGGAAGCAAAGTCTGTTGGTTTATCGATCGAGATGACTATGGGCAGATGGTCTGATGCCAAAGTCAGCATAGGTCGTCATGATACACTGTTTATCAGAACAACGCTGGCTATTGTTATGTCCGGCGAGCTGCAGCAGCTGCCCATAATCCTGGTGGGTGCGTCGTCATTCATTGTGCAGAATGTCGAATCGTCTATCTGCTCAGCCAAGTCTGTTCCTCTACGATCGTTTGACAGGCTTGAGTGCCAAAGATCGTGGTGCGCATTAAAGTCACCTACTATCATGCGGTTTTCACCTTCTGAGGAGCGCACCTATATCAGGGTGATATCTTGCCGGGCAGCTAGTGACAGGGGGTATATAAACGTTAAATATTTCGACCGTTGAGGTCCTGATCGGATAGCAATGCCCTGGCATTCTAGGGTGGTATCCCTGCGGTCGATGTCTGTTTCAATAAGACGATACTGCACGGTGTGGTGCGTGATGAACGCTAAGCCACCACCATTATCTCGCTCGTGATCTCGACGGTGTACGTTGTACCCGGCTCCATTCAACAATGTTCAATCAACTTCGTCTCTTAGACCGCAGCTATCAATATACCATGCCTTCCCATGAAGACGGTTATCTCCTCAATTTTGCTCTGAAGTCCGTTACAGTTAAATTGAAGGAGCTTCATGTGGTTCGGGAGACGTGTAGTTATACGGGATGTGTGTGGCCTTGCCGCCATTGGCTGTGTGCGCTGCTATGGAGGCAGCCGCCCTGTGGTGGTAGTGGGTGGCGTCGCGGTTGGGGTTTGCGGCCGAGCAGCGCAACATNTGAGCATGCCCTAAAGTGGCACCAGCCAAGGCAGGTGTTGCACTTGACTGATGTCACATTACGGAATATCCTGGTCTGACATACCGTGCAGATTGTAGGAGGAACCACGAGTTGTTGGCGGCGGCGTGTGGGTGGTGGCGCGGTTGTGTCTGTTATGTGGTCTGTCGTGGTGGTGGTGTGGTCTATTGTGTTGTTGTGTTGTGGTGCTGTGGTGTCTGTGTTGAGCTGTTCAGGTGGACTAGGGTTAGCCGTGGAGGCTGCTCTGTTCGAGCAGCAGCAGGCGACGCTGAGGTGGCTCCACCCCTCATAAGAATTGCACTTGACTGAGGTGGAGTTGTGGTGTAGTCGTCTCTGGCATACACAGCAGGTGTAGGATTCTGGCCCTGGGTTTGACCCGATGCCAGCCCTGAGCAGAAGAATACGTAGCAAGTGTAGCCCTATGGACGACCAACTTCTGAGATACTTCGCCGACCTAAACGGGGTTAGATCGCCGAAGGAACAGCCCTTGGTCGAGTAAAACCCGAGTCATTCCGGTACGTAGAACCGGCTGTCGTGGTAATGTAGTTAAAATGGTCTTTCCGTCTAACTCGCCGTGAGGTAGCAGCATCTCGAAGAAAGTAATGAAACGGTCCTACAGTATCCTTGTGAGTGCCCAGCATTCGCACGTATAAGGCATGATACATTAGCGACATCAAAACCGCAGATAACATCAGAGATCCCAGAGAAAGCATATCAAAATGGTGCTATCGACGCAATGTTGGACCATTTCAAATTTCATATACAGAATATTGGCCAACCAGCTGGAGAAAGTTCTGGATCCAGGACTTTATGCACAAGATTTCGCAAATAAAAGCAATACACAAATACGTATTATTAGTATATAGCCGTAGTAGAAACCCTGCATAAAATAAAAACAAAATGTAGCCAAAACAAAAAGACTGCAGACGAGTGACATTAAGTCCATTGTGAGGTCAGTTTCTTTTTGCCGTGATACAGGACAAAAATTTATGAAACAGATGGTGTTAATGACATCCAAAGGTAGAGTACTAATTTCAAAAACACCCAAAAGATCGCAATTGGAATACTGTTGTGCATACAACCCTAAGAAGGACAACCAAGAAGTTTTAGTTTTCTCTGATGAAAAAAATTAGTTATTATGGCTCCAATGGATTCAATAAATATATACCATAGACCATAACGATTATAAGAAGCAAAATTAAATAATAAAGAAAATAATTATTATGAGAACACGTAAATCATTTCCATATGGAAATAAAAGTCCCGCGGGATGAAAAAAAAAATAAATGTCCCACATAATTATTATGAGAAGACGTAAATAATTTTCGTCTTGAAATAAACGTCCCGAGAGACTAGAAGTATAAAAATACCATATAATTATTATTAATATTCCCTCTGAAATTAATCGTCCCGCGAGACGAAAAAGGATATTTCTCCTAAATAGTAATAACACAAAGACAAGGCGACGTTTTGATCTCAAATATTAGGATAGTAATTATTTTGGGTCTCTGATATATACACAACTCGTGAACGGTGGATCGTTTTTAGACTTTACACCATATGGACCTGTCAATCTATCACTTGAGGTCGAAATAATAATCTAATGGATAAAAAAAAACTGAAAATTATACCTAATTGTATTGTTTTCTTATTAAGTATGAAGTAACAATTTGTGCACTAATGAGTGTTCTATTATTTATTTATTTTACAGATTCAGTAATTTGAGAACAGTTTTACGAAATCGTTCAAACACTCTTTAGAATATCCGGATAACCAAATGAATGTGACCGGATATCCGGATAACAAAAAGGAACGGATATTAACTGGAGTGAGTTGACTTGATTGGTAGAAATTTGGAGAAATATCAAACAGATTATAAAGAAACATTTCGCGTTGATTTTGGTTAAAATACCAATTTAAAACTTTTTATTTTTTTCTTAATGCGTCAAGTTATCTCTAGTCTTTGATTTCCTTTTTTTCGTAACTATTTTTCCAGTAAATCCTTATAGTACTAATACATATTAAATTCTATAATGAAAAAAGGTAATTTAGAAAGTAAACAACATATTCATTGCATATTTTACAAGCGCATCAAAATTCTGTTGAAATACATGCATAATAACATAAGAACAATTTTAACAAGGGGCAACTTTGCTCCTCATTCCGACAACGTCCCGGCGCTAAGTTGATTGCACTAAATGCTGTTGTTGAATAACAGCAGCATGATCGTACTATTCTCTCCACGCCTCCGAAACATCATCGTCCATGCCCCAGCCATCTCCGCCTCCCGTATTGTCGTCTGCATTAATGGCCACAGCGGCAAATCGACTACTATCGATTATTATTTCATCATTGTCATCCTTATTTGGCAATTTCATTGTATTTGATGGCATTTTTGTCACTAAAGTCCCTGCTAAGGATAATTTGCTTGTACTCGGTTCAATAATTGGTTCCATGTCTTTAAAGAAATCAAAGTCAATAATTCCGTCGACTTGTGGCGTCGCCGTCTTATGGACAACAATGTCAAAGGCGTTGAGATCATCATTTATTTTAAGAGCTCGCGTCTGATGTGTGCTTGCTGCGGTACTATTAAGATCCCCTTTGATAGTGGTCTAAAAAATAGATTGAAAAATATTAGCAGATAATTAATGCTTCAGTAACTAAGGGAGTTACATACCTCTACTATTTGCAGTTTCGAAGTTTCAGCGGATGGTTTTGTTTTTGTTGATACGTTATTGACTTCAGTACTACATTCAGGCAGTGTAAAAGAGGGGCTTTGTGAAGTTAGATTATTTGTGTTTGTGATCAAAAACACTTTTGATTCATCAATTTTTGCAGATGACTTATCAACTGCAGCTGCCTGATTTAGCTTTTGTAGCTCATCAGACTCCCAATCGGACCACGCTTCAATCTCATCGTCGTCGCTATTTTCAGCTAGGTTCCGATTGTGAAAGCCATTCACAATTGGGTTTTCAATACCAGTAATGATCTGTGAAATCTCAGCTGAACATATTTTCTCAGTTTCATTTGTATTTTCATCAATATTAGGTGTTAAAATGTATGTTGCCTCCCTGCTATTTGCAACAATGGCTTCTGCTGCTACCGTTTCGTTATCGCTTTGTCTACCAATTTCTTCATGCTGCTGTGAGGGGTTCAGTGATCCCATACCATCCCTAACAGAAGTACTCTTATCATCTTCGCCTCCGTCCGGGCTTAAACGCGGCGGCATTCCCTGCTCTTCGTTTGTGCCTACTTGAGGCAATGAATTAAAGCTACCACTCAAATCAACGTGGTCCGGCAATGGACTATCTGACACCATATAGTCTATATTATTGCCCATTACGGGCGTTATCGACCGCGGTTCGACCCAATGAGTTGTTGCATCAGAAACTGCTGCCTGTGGACGACCATCGGAAAAGATGCGAGTACGGTTGCCAACGATTACGGTAGAGGCTCCTAGAATTGGGACTAAGTCAGCCATACAACGCAGTGTCTTAGCTACCAGAACATCATTTGTATCATTCATACCCTCTTGCAAATATGGGAGTATGCACTCCATTATCTCATCCTTCGAAAGTAGTCGTACGAATTCCATAAAGTATTCTAACAATATTAAACGTATCTGTGCATCACGGAGCCTAAACATTTTCTTTATATGTGGCATGACGTAGCGCACGTATGTCGGGTTAGAGAATAAGGCTGCCGAATGATCGATTTTCGTCTTTAGCACGTAAGGCGTAACGCATAACTGCGCAGTGGGATCAAGCAAAACCATGCGCGAGAGAAGATCAGCAGCTAATTGAGCGCCAACCACTTCTTCATTGAAATAGCGAAGGCGATCGATAAGGCCAGTGAAGAAATCCTGCTTCTCTTGCAAACACTTTAAGGGCAATTCAAACAGAAAGGAATGTATAAGTACAAATTCATGATTGAAGTATGGATGTAGCAGTACGGCCGAGAGACGTGGCCGTAAATGTGCATTATTATGTTTTAGGTGGGTGGAACAATAGTCGCGAAATTCTTGCGAGTGTGGAGTTTCTGTGGTCTCTTTTTTGCTGCACTTATTCAAAACTTCTTCGCAGAGTGTTGCGAAAGCATATTGCTCAACGGCATCAATAGTATTATCTTTGCCTTCGCCGGAATCAACGGCTTTAGGATAGCGATAGGTTTTTACAAAATCAAGCAATGTCTTTGTTATTTCCTTATTTTTCCATACATATTCAAAGCCAGCCAAACGCCAGCTACCATCGTCTGTTATGTAAATTGATGAGATACAAATGTTAAGGTGGCGCCCCAAAGCCTGTTGAAATTCGTATTTAAAACAGGGGCACAGGAGGTCAGAGTATATACACATTTAAAGCACAATGACACAATGTAAAATTAAACTTTTCAAAATGGTAACGAATAAATCAAATTTAAACGAAAGAAGGGTTTTTTCATAATGGGTTTTTGAATAATTTAGATGAGACCATGGCGCAATAATAATAATAATATAATTCCACCATGAGATGAGACATGCAAATTTGTGATAATTGTTTATATAAATGTGCTTTTATGTATGCGAGCTATGATTTTGGTGCAATAGGGAGTTAAGTATTTGTTAAAAATTAAAAATACGAAAATCTGCTTACCTTCTCCACTAAAAATATTAAACTGCAGAGAATAGTTCGCAATCCCAGGCAGACTTGTAAATTGTTTTGTGTCGACAAAACGGAAGTCAAAGGGCGTACACGTTCTGTGGCTAAATGTTTTTGACCGCCTTGTTCCCAGGTGCTGACATATTTCAATATATATGGATGCCGATATATCATTAAATTCTAAATGAAAACGTGTTAACTTTCTTTTACGTTAAATTATAAAGACATTTAGGCATTTATTTACCTTTATAGCGCGTTCCAGGGGGCCCTGTGTCACCCACAGTTGTCCATTTACTACCGGTTCACCTTGAAACACGGAAAGTAGTTGACGACCGTCCTCATTGGATGTGGTTGGCGATTCCGCATTGTAAAGTGTCCAGAAGTCGTTTGCTTCTACAGAGTTCTTATCAATTACTAATCCCTTTAGGCGACTACTATCGTTGCCCATTATGTTCACTGCGTCGCAAAAATAACTCAACACTTACACTTGAGCACTACTTATATTCTTGAAAATGAAAATTGCACTTATATCAATGCATTTTGTTGATTTAAAAAAAATTTCACTAAATTTTTTCGTATACAATTTTTTCCACATACACAATTGAACAATTCTTCACAGACGTTTTGTGTTGTTTNACTCAACACTTACACTTGAGCACTACTTATATTCTTGAAAATGAAAATTGTACTTTTATCAATGCATTTTGTTGATTTAAAAAAAAAATTTCACTAAATTTTTTCGTATACAATTTTTTCCACATACACAATTGAACAATTCTTCACAGACGTTTTGTGTTGTTTTTTTTTTCAGTTGTTGAGCGCAAGTGTTCGAGACTCGAAGTCACAGCTGTTCAAATTGAACTGTTGCATTCTTAATAAAACTTTCGGTTAAAATATTCAACGAATGTAAAGGGTAGAGATTCATTACAAGATTAAAAAAGACCGCTTATAGTAAATTTATGTCTTTACAGGGCTATTAATCTTGCAGTTATTTAAGAGAAAGCCTATTAAGCCATTTCTGTAGATAGCGGATGTGACCCTTTTCGCTTGAAATTAGGACAATTAAATTACAAAAAATTCAACATACCTATATATCTTTAGTTAAAAGACAGTTTTCCCTTCCTTTCTTTGTGTTTTGCACGTATTGAGGATTTGTATAGTCTAATTTTAAGTCATTTGAAAAAACAATAATTTAATATTTGCAACTCAGCTCGTTCATAGAAAAGTTGGCTGCTTTTCACATTGGCATTTTGCTTCCGTTCTGTCAAAGTAATGGATGATATTGCCATCTCTTTCTTTTTCTTTTCACCTACGTGTGAAGGCATCGCGTATTTCACGTCGGTGTGAATTAAATTAATAATTTCGTAAAAATGGTGAGTTAATAAATTAAATTTGTGCGAGAATTCAGCCCGCAATATTTCAGTGCAAGTAAATAAAGTCAAATTTTGCAATATGTGCCATCGATGCTTTGGAAATTAGAAGATTGAATGTCGCCGAACTAATCGTGTTTTTGTTTCATAGGGTTTCGTCAAAGTAGTCAAGAACAAGCAGTACTTCAAGCGCTACCAGGTCAAATTCCGGAGGCGTCGTGAGGGTAAAACAGATTACTACGCTAGGAAACGTTTGATCTTCCAGGACAAGAACAAGTACAACACACCAAAGTACCGTCTAATTGTACGTTTGTCCAACAAGGATATCACCGTACAAATAGCCTACGCCAGAATTGAGGGTGATCGTGTTGTCTGCGCTGCCTATTCCCATGAGTTGCCCAAGTATGGAGTTAAGGTGCGATATACCAAATTGGCTATAAATTGAGGTTATGTTATGAGTTCATTATTGCATTATTCCTAGGTGGGTTTGACCAACTACGCTGCATCATACTGTACTGGTTTACTCGTTGCTCGTCGTATCCTCAACAAATTGGGTCTGGATACCCTTTACGGTGGTTGTACTGAAGTTACAGGTGAAGAATACAACGTAGAACCCGTCGATGATGGTCCAGGCGCTTTCCGTTGCTACTTGGATGTTGGTCTTGCACGTACAACCACTGGTGCTCGTGTATTCGGAGCCATGAAAGGTGCTGTCGATGGTGGTTTGAATATTCCACATTCTGTGAAGCGTTTCCCCGGCTATAGTGCTGAGGCTAAGAGCTTTAATGCCGATGTGCACCGCGCCCATATTTTCGGTCAACATGTTGCTGATTACATGCGCACTCTTGAGGAAAACGATGAAGAAAGCTTCAAACGCCAATTCAGCCGTTACATCAAATTGGGAATCCGTGCTGACGATGTGAGTGACCATACAAAATTACATTGTAAATCTTCACGTCCATTTTCAAAATTACCGCTGTGTCTTGTTGCCCACGACACTGGCTGTGCCAAAAGTGGACCACATCAATTTTTAGGAACCTGTGTTCGAAGTTTATCACTCCTAATCAATGTGATATGTTTCCTGTTATGGTTGCACAATGTTCAATTTCAAAAAAAAAAAAAAGTACCCAAATTTGGAATAAACTTTTCATTTATTATTTTCAGCTTGAAACTATTTACAAGAAAGCCCACCAATCCATTCGCGCCGATCCTACCCACAAGAAAAAGGAAACTAAGAGCGGCGGCGTGAAGAAACGGTGGAATGCTAAGAAACTCACGAATGAACAGCGTAAGGTGAAGGTCGCCGAACACAAGGCTGCATACATTGCCAAGCTGAAGTCGGAGTCTGAGGCCTAAATGCGCTCAAATGGACATGTGGGGAAAACTCTAAAACTTTATTATTATATTAAAATAATAATATAGGATTTTATTTACAGTAAAACAACTCTTTTCTTTTTTAATTTGTCGAGAGATCGTCGGAATATGTAGTCACCGTTAATGCAAAGGCCGTAATTGAAATATATGTCATTTCGCAGAAGCAAAACAGACTTGGGGCTGGTTTCTCCAACTCAACTTAGTTATGCCAATTTTCTTGACTTAGTCAAGAATAAGCTGTATAAAACGTAGGCTAACTTTTGACTTAAGTCCAAAAAGTGGCTAAACTAAGTTGAGTTGGAGAAACCAGCCCTTAATGTTTTCATAGGACATGCTTACAGAGCTGTTCTAAAGATGCAAATAATTCTCGTAGTTTTTAAGATGTGGCTTTGAACTTTTGTCTGCTTGGCCAACGGCCCGGTTGGCTTCAGAAACTATCCACATAATTAATTTTCGTGCTGCTCATCCAACCCAACAAAAAAATGAGAATACATTCATATAAAAGCTTTATTTTCAAAAAAATGTGATTAATACTTAATATGGGTTTTAAGTAATCCATCTTAGCAGCGAAATAAGAAGGTTGCGGTTTGTTCTTTCGTATTCAACGGGAGTGCGACCCTTTAACAAACGTCCACAACGTTAATAAATTTCTTAAGTCTAAATAGCTAATAATATATAGAATAGCATTGAAGAGGAATTATATTTGTATCCTTGAGAAAGTGGACAGTTTTTAGGAATATTTTACAAGTGATTAGAGCATGCTATGCAAGCTTTTTAAAGGCTTTACGCGATGTTGTATTTTCTTTTTATGTACGTCTACCGAATTGCACTAGCTGCTCGCCTAAACTACAGCATATTAACAGATCTTTAACCATATTTTTTAAATTTCCTTTTGATTTGATGATCGTTTTATTTTGCTAAATAATGTAAATCGTACGCTAGCTTAGAGTGAAAAGCACATACATATAAATAATAAAATTATAGTTTAAAAAACTAAAACCTCGCTATTATAATTTCCATTCGTACTGTCATCAGGTACATATGTAACTTGAGAATAGAAATCGCTGCATGTTTTAGGCGCATCAATATTACATAGTTACATCCCGAGCTAATAAAAGGGAGGTAAAAAGGAACTTTTTGATGACGGAAGCAAGGAAAAGTAAAAGTGCCTCATTTCCAAAAGGGTCGAGCTACCAGTTGCCAGTACTAAAAAGACACGATGCAATTCGAAAAGTTCAGAGGAATATGAAAACCTTTCAATAAAATCAAGTTCAACCCATTTATGTGGATGTTAGTTTTGCTGTGAATAAGTGAATGTGTTGTATTCAAAGTTTTGCAAAATACTTTAAAAAAATTATTTTGAGGAGCTCTTCTGTACTTTTGAAATAATTGAAATCAGCAACCTTTCACTCTAATCTAGGCGCTTTGTTTTGATGAATAAAAAATAATTAAAATCTATGATAGGTTTCTATTGCAAGAGCAGTGCAAAGTCGTCATCTTTATTAAAATCGCTGGGATTGCAAAATTCGCAGTGTTCATCCTCGATGCCGCCGGGAACACACTTAGAATGGTAGACATGACCACATAAGAATACAACAACATCATTTAGAGGCGCAATGTTTGCGTTCATGCTAAGTACAGAACGATTACATTTTAAGCAATGCTCAGAAGATGACACGCAACGGCCTCGATTTTGTGTATTAACTACTCTAGCATGTTGGTCATAATAGTATTGTAGTTGAATCTCTTGCGCGGTTTTACGAATTTCCACCTAAATTATTGAATGAATTTTTCATCCACGTACATATGCATGATTGTACCTACCTGTAAACGATAGTCCCACAAAAGCTTAACTACAGCATCGCGAAGACCGGGTATTTTTTGGCCAAGTTTAATTTTTTCAACAACTGCGACAGGATCAACGTAATCTATGGAAATGTTAACGGGAATCCGTTATTTGTCGTCTCGTTTATTTTATTCTTATTAATGTAATACATACTATGTATATACATACTTTCTTATGCCACACACTTACCTACTATACCGTCCAGGAGTTTGAGTACAATGGCGGGCTCCTTCACTGATTCATCGATCAGTATATTCCACAAATCCGAATCATTGTGCTCCTTACAGAATTCAATTGCCATTTCAATATCTTTTATCTAAGCCAAATACGTTCGTTCAGTTAAATCGGACATTTGAAATAGACAATAAGTTTCACTTACCTTCTCAATGATAATATTTAACGCCTCTGTGGTATTACCCATTTGCCCCAACAAATATACCATTTCAGGGTAAAATAATTCACGTTTACATACATCCAAAGCCTCTTGCATGGGATAGTGATTGGATCGTTTTAGAAATGGTAGCAACTTTTCTGGTTCGTATTTTGCATACAACTTCACCAGTTTCCAATGGTATTTACCACTTTTGTCGACTTTGTCCAAAGCATCCAAATACTGTAAAAACCAATTTATTTAAAGCGCAAGTATTACAGTATAAGTCATTTGCTCAGTCTCACCCAATATAAATACTCTTGATTTTGCTCCAATTGCTGTACAACAATTTCCGGTGATATTTTGTTTCGTTCGAATAAAACTTTAAAGGCACGCTCACGATCCAGTTGAAGCAGTGGTATAATCATTTTATGTATAGCATCATAGAGATTATAACGCCGAATCATTTCGAATACATCAGAGTTTTGTAATCTGCAATTTAACAGTTTTTTTTTTTTTTATCTTTAAAATGAAATTGTGAAAATTATAATTTCGAACAACTCACTTCAAGTACATTCTCAATGCACTTTCATAGTCACGCTGATGCAAATAGAGTATTGC